GCTATGGGGGGGAAAAAGAGGAACAACTGTAATAATCTGAACAATAAAGATTTAATTTAAAAAATAAAAATAAAATGCTTCTAGAAGAGCCCTGGTTATTACTGGTTTGAGATGATTCCTTGTATGAAAATAAGAAGAAAAACTGGTGACCTTCATAAATTCCTTCAAATCTCTTAATTTCCATTTTCTGTGAAGAACAAACCATGACAAGATATTCATGACATGCATTTTAATTCCACAAACCAGGACTACTTTACATCTGAACTGGAAAATTTCATTTCTCTGAAACCACAGATGTCCTGGATACTTCACAGAAAGAGTGCTGAGTACTTTTTCACCTGAGATGCTACAACATTGAATGTTTCTATAGGATTTCTATAGAATACTATTTCAAAATCAACCTAGCGAACAAAGATCACTAGGAATTTTCGATTAATACATAGCAAACAACATTCTGCACTGTATTTTTCAAAGCATTTTCCCTGATAAAATCTCTAAATAACTATATTTGATATAAGATGAGATACATCAAAGTAATGATTTTAAAATGTACATTTCTAGTTGGTTGTATAACTATAACCTAACTGTGCTTCTCTTAATGTGCTTCTCATGTCTTCCAATAAAAGTAAAGGGTCTCACTTTTGTGGCCAATATTCATTTTTCGACGAACTAGGAGCAATTCTAACTTTAATCTGAAAGGGGCAATTTACTAGCTTTTTAAGTTGATGGTGAATCAGTCAGTTAGCAGGGGATATAGACCATGTACTCTAAATATCCCATCCGCATCTTGTACCAACATTAGAGAAGGGGTAGAAATTCCCCTGAAGGAGCTTAACATCTTGTGGAGGAAAGATCACGCCCATAAAGAGAAACAACTAACGAAAAATCTCCTAACTAGAAACTAATGAATAGATAAAAATATATAAAAAAAACCTAAGTGTTATACTGTTACTATCAATTCCACAACTTCAACCCAGCGATCCATTATGATGTCCCCCATTTCCTTATTTCTAACTTCTTTCTTCAACAATTAAAAATCTGACTCTCATAATCTACAATAAATTTATTTATTTATTCAACACTAGTATACATATACAGTACTATCAGAATTGCAAACCCATACCCCTGCAAGAAAGTAATGTGTATGTATAGTGTTTTTGTCTTTAGTTCTACAGTATGCAGTAATATTGTTTTCAAAAGATAACTAAGTCAAGCTCCTTTCTTCTCCATTACATTGAGTGAGGTTGTCAAACATATGTAATGCTGTTACATTTGTCATTTGTCACAGTCTACATTCCATCCTGGATTACTTCCATGTCTTGGTTGGTTAAAAAATACATATACTAACATTCATTCACTCTTTAGGGTGTAGCCTCTAGGATTCTGACATATACATTGTCATGTATTTACCACCACAATCCAAGCAGAAAAGTTTTATCATCCACCCCCAAACATTCCCATCTGCATTTTAGAGTCAACATAAAAAAATGTGGGGGGATTTTCATTGGAGTTACACCATTTTCATATCTTAACAATAGTCTTCAAGTCCATGTGCATAATTGATATATTTCTCTATTTACTTAGTTCTTTACAAGACGCTGATTTCTTTCATCAGCACTTTGTAATGTTCAGCATGTATATCCTCCACATGTTTTGCTAGGTTTATACTTAAGCATTTTATTCTATGGCAAATTATATGCATATAATTTCTAATTTCAATTGTTTATTGCCATTATATAGAAATATAATTTACTTTTGTATACTGCTCATATATCCTCCATCCTTGATAAACTCATATACTACTCATACACTAGTTCTAGGAACTTTTTATAGAAAGCTTAGGATTTTCTACTTAACTGTCATGTCAAATCCCAGCCCCTTTCCCAGGGTTAGACATGGTGTGTGAGTTTCTTTTATGCAGCTGCAATGTGTTTTCACCATAGCCCTAAGGTGTGACCCCCAGCGACTTCATGCTCTCTCACTAGTGTATACTTGACCTCTACCAATTCACTAAACACCTTAACTCAACTCTTCTCATCAGTGTCTAGTTGTCTCTACCACAAGGAGACAATTGATAATATCCCATTTCTTCCTGTAAGCACCTACTCCTTGTTGGACTTTGGGTCACTTTGTTGGCCTACAGCCTCAGCTTCCTACGGGAGCTTTAAAACACTGAGAATTTACTGTTGGTATGGTTTCTGCTATGCAAAATCAAAATAGGTTGCAACAAAGCAAAACCATGAAAACCTCAGAACTTATAATATTATTCATATATTTCTTCTTTTAAATTTGAGACATGTTTTAGGAAACAGTATCTTACTAGTGGCCTGGTGCACGAAATTCGTGCACGGGGGTGGGAGGGCGATCTCCTCAGCCCAGCCTGCACCCTCTCCAATCGGGTTTCCTATGGGGGATGTCTGACTGCCAGTTTGGGCCCGATAAAACTGGCAGTCTGACATCCCTCTCACAATCTGGTATTGCTGGCTCCCAACCACTCACCTACCTGCCTGCCTGATCGCCCCTAACTACTCTCCCCTGCCGGCCTGATCTCACCCCCAACTGCCTCTGTCTGTCTGATCACCCCTAACTGCCCTCCCCTGCTGGCCTGATCTCGCCAGTCTCTAACTCTCTTTGTTTTTCTCAGCAGTCCTCCAGGCCCCCTTGCCTCTCTGTCTCCCTCTTCCTCTTTCTAGGCTGAGAGGGGGCAAAGCCAATGGGGACTGCTCCACCATCTGCCGGCCCTCCCTTCCATCCAGGCCTCTTCAGGCCCAATCTGTTTTGTTTCCTCATTCTGAGAGAGGCTCTGAGCTGGGAGGGAGGGAAAGAAGGGGAGAAAAGGCTGTGAGCTGGTGGGCGCTGTGTGTGTCTGTGCGTGTGTATGGTTGTGAGTGAGTGTGAGTGCCAGCCCCGCCTCCCCCATACCTGTCTCTGCTGCCACAAGTCCCCACCCACCAGAGCCTACTGCATGTGCAGCCTGGTCATTAGGTCGAGTCTCTGGTCATTGTGGATGTGACGGACCCAGGGTTTTTATATATTAGAATACGGTATCTCTGCACTATGTAATATTATTCTCTATTTCTATTTCTATATTCACATACATTAGAGTTTTTAACCTTCACACTGTGCATCAGAACCATCTAAAGAGCCTTTAAAAGTTGCATGTATACAGGCAATATCCCAGGGATTGTTTTTTTTTAAATTATTATTTATTTATTTTTATTTTTATTTTTTTTGTTAATCCTCACCTGAGGATATTTTTCCATTGATTTTTAGAAATAGAGAGAGAGAAACATCGATGTGAGAGAAACGCATTGATTGGTTGCCTCCTGCATGCACCCCAACCAGGGCTCAGGCCAGGGAGGAGCCTACAACTAAGGTACATGCCCTTGACTGGAATTGAACCTGGGACCATTTGGTCCGCAGGCTGATGCTCTAACCACTGAGCAAAACCAGCTAGGGCCAGGGACTGACTTTCAATTGGTCTGGAGTGGAGTGTAAGTTTTTTGGTTTTGGTTTTGTTTTTTTCATTTTCCATGTGATTGCAGTGGGCATCCAGATTTGGAAAACCACTGTGGTGAACAAGAAAATAAATATGACATCTCTCTGGATATCAGAAAAGAATTCACAAGAATTACACAGATCTAACTTAAAGAAGAATTAATGTTTTGAAGAAACATCACATAATGATACATAACATTAGCCCTAGAGTGAAACTGCTTGAATTCAAATGCCAGCCATAGCCTTTCCTAGGAAAATAAATTAACCTCTCAGCATTAGGTTTTCTGTTAATAACAATAACAGTTATCTGATCATGCTGCTTGTTTTGAGGATTAAATAAACAAATATATGTAAAATTCTTAGTCCTTTAATTGGCATACCACATATGTTGGCTATTATTATTATTAATCATCATTTTAGTCAATGTCCAATTAGAATTGTGGTCTACTATATTGAAGAGATAACTGAATCTATTCTTAATTTAGTCATATTCTAGACATGCTTTCCTTTCATAAAGCTGAAAGTTTCTTACTAGTTATTTGGAAATATCTTGAGTTTCCCTACTTTCAAAAAACCGAATAATATTTGTGAATCTTTTTAAAGCATTTTGATAGAAAGCAAAATATTAGAAAAATTCATATAGGATGCTAAATGTCTGAGACAGCTTGAAGGTCACTATAATGCTACATCCCAAATTATATGCAATTTTAGATAATACATTAAAAAGATAAGAACTTCCCAAAATGAATTATCTATACAATAACTCTAGGCATTATATAATATGATGGTTGGCTGCCTGCCTCATTCCTTAATTTCCTGTTTACAGTGCTATTATAAGCACTGAGACTTCTTGGATCATTAGAAATGGTGACAGTTTGTCCTGTGAGCTTGCCGGGTATTATTAGCTAAGCTTTCCTACTGGTAGGGGCACATAACAGCTAGGTCATGTTATTCTCTTATTGGACATAAACAGTTTCACAGAACACCGGTATCATACAAGGTCACTCTGCCACTGTGATGAAATGAGACAAAACAAGAACATTTCATAATCTAATCTAAGCATAAACAAAAACAAGCTCATTGTGTAAAACGCAAAATACCAAACATCTCCCTCTTCTGTCTAATATGAGTGACTACTACTTATTTACCAATTAAATAATTAGCCTCACTATAGTCCTCTTTCCTCCAGACAAGATTTACTAAATTACTCACTCCTAGGATTACCACTGTCCCTAAGAGCATGCAATCAAGGTGAATACATTTTCTTAAACCTTTCCCAAATTTACATAGTCAATGCACAATTCATATAACTGTTACCAGCATTGGGATTCTTGAGTTCCCCAAAATAGAAATGAGAGGAAACCCCAAAGAAGTTTCCAGACAGATTTTATTAAGTTTATACCTGAGCATAAGGGAGGCAGGACAGAGGAAAGGAGGCCCTCTAAATTGGTTCAGGGGCTGGTTCTGCTTGGCTGCTTTGATAAGCTGGGACTAGGCAGGCTTGCTTGAAAAGACAGGCTTTTTGAAAATGGCTTGTGGAAATTTTCATGTCAGGATAGGAAAAGCAAACAGTTATAAGGTAGATTAAATTCTGCATTTTTTTTTTTAAGCAGGAAATGGACGTATGGCGACATTCTTGCCACCTGGTCTTAACCTGGCTTCTAAGCCACCCTATATTTTTCCATTTCCAGGCCCAAGTGCCTGTACTGTCTCATAATCCTATATAATAAAAGCCTAATATGCAAATTGTCCCCTCAGGTGGTCATTTGACCAAGAGCTCGACAGCTCGCTATGACATGCGCTGACTACCAGGGGGTGGCGCAGAACATGGTGGGTGTCGGTGACACGGTGCTGACAGCAGGTGGCAGTGGAGGCACTGCCGACCCCGATGGGCCCTGACCATGGTGGGATGATGGAGCAGGTGAGCATGCGGCGCCAGGTCAAGGCAGGTGCAAGCAGGGGCCCAATTGCCCCACCAATCGCTCCACAGACGGCAACCAGTGGTGGCAGCAGGGGGTGGGTCCACCATCGGCTCCCAGGCGCTGAGGGAGTGGGGGGGGGGGGTGAGGGGCGGCCCCAACCAATCACCCTGCAGGCAGGATGGTGGAGCAGGTGAGGGGGCAGTGCCAGGCCAAGGCGGGGTGTCAGGCGGGGCTGCAGGGCTACAAGGCTAGGGGCACAAGCTGGGGCCCAATCTCCGTAGGTCCCCCTGAGGGAACCCACCCATGCACAAATTCATGCACCGGGCCTCTAGTATCTTTCATAATAACGGTCAATGTGAGATAGCCCATAGACAGTCAATGTGCATTGACCATAATGTGTGGTCTCCCTTTTGGTAATGAGCACTAAAAGGAATCTGGGGAACTACAGATGTGTTCCCAGTGATCTGTGACTGGAAGGCATTGCCACTGAGTAGGTATGAATATAAAAGAAAGAAAAAAATGTGGTCTGGCTTAGGGGGAATTTTTACATCCTCCATTTTCCATCATGCATGGCTACTGCCTTGGTTCACCCTGATTTATTAAACCACACTGCTAATCCATTGGAAATGGTTTACCTTTCAGTTATCACACTTGTTTGACTGCTTGGCATTTCTCACAATTTAGTTCTGAGCTTTACACTATTCAAGACTTCTACATATTGACTGACAATCACCTTCCCAAAGTAAAACTTTGATGTAACATTAATATGTCAGATTATACCATTATTGTTTACATTTCAGTCTTGCAACACTGATGGTAAATATTTAATGCTAACCATTAAAAGGCTAATTTGGAACTTCTGGAGAAAATATAATATGCTTTGTAAATAATGACTATTATGTGCTTTAATAAGGTTGAAAATTAGACACATTTGAAGCAAGCAATGCATGCAAATGTAAGACCTCAACACCACATTAGTTTTAAGAATAGATACCAAATTAACAGGCCAATACAATCTTCCAAATGTATACTCAATAGTGTTTACATGAACAAACTCTTACATAGTAAATTAAATCAGGGGCACCTTTAAATACTACCTGGTATAAAAGATAAATTTTCCAAACATACTTCTAACTCCACTCCATTAAAGGAAATCGAATAAAAAACAGTATTTATTTTTCATTCATAAGAACTACAATTGTTACTTCATGAAAAAAATGTTGAAATAAGCATAAGCTAAAAAGACATTATTTGTAGAACAGAGCTCTTTTGAACAGGCAGTTCAAAATGTTCCCATTTGAAGATTTTTTTAAAGTGTACTCAAATGAAAGTACTTAGTCTTGTCAGGAATTACATTTACATTACAAAATGGTCTGCTGCTGCTCTCAAAATTACCAGGTGATTACAGGATGATAAAATTTCCATTAGCAAGGAAAATGTAGCCTTTGAAGCAAAGGGTGCAGAGGAATGACATAACTGGTACTTTATCACAGGCATGATCTACTGAAGAAGATACTATCACTAAGAGGTAAAATGGCTCATCAGTGAAAAAATATTAACTATAGTGTTAATGATAAAAGAACATAAGCACATATAATAAAAGAGCTACTGGGAACAGAAGGATGAATGTGTAAAAGCAAATGGACCTCCTGGCAAGCACTAAAAAGGTCCCTTATTTACATGGGACAGCTGTCCACTTACCATAAGAAAATTCCTTTTTGACTTCCACATTTACAAATAAATCCCCACCTGTTATGTGTTTTGTTTTGTTTTGTTTCAAACAAAGAATGAGTGTTGTTGTTGTTGTTGTTTTTTACCCGTGGCTCCCAGCAACCATCTATATTTAGGAATTGTAACTTTATCAAACGGTGACTGCCTGGCACCACATACGTATGCTTGGGCTAATGCATAGAAAGTCCAGCGTTAAGATACCTCAGTCTGCTCTGAGGGCTAAATTCAAGTGTGCTGATCAAAAACATGTGACCTCTCTGCACTTCAATCCATGCACTTGCTGCTGACAGACCAAATGCCCATTTTATCATAGCAGTCACCAGCTCAGCCATCTCTTCTGACTCTCCAAGGGCAACAGAATAAAGTTCTAAAACACTAATTCAAAGTCCCCTGTGGCTGGACCTCTAAGCCAACTGCTAACAGCTTTACTACTTGATACTCTGCAACATGCTTTCCTCTATCAAGAGCAAGGCTCCCTTATTTGTCACATCCTTCATAGTTCCATCATTGAAAAGACATTCTAATGAGAGAAATGTATCAGACCTGTCCTAACTGAGGTGGAGGTGCTGATAAAAAGCCTCAGCAGATATGTAATATGGAAACAACCCATCTTGCTGACTCCACTGCTAAACTCTCAAAAGTTTCTCGGAAATCTGTAAACAACTAAAAGATTCTTATTTGTTGCCCCATCAGGGTAATCAAAACAGGCTGCCACAGGGATGACACTGCAGGCTGCCAACTGATCAGTTTATCCAGAAAATGTGAAAGCAAGGCCCCCTCTCTGTTCTCTGCAATATTGTCTCATTCACCATTGAAAGATAATTTCACAGGGTATAGAATTCTAGGTGTTTGTGTGTTTTTTTCCTCTTAACACTTTATGTATTTCACTCCACTCTCCTCCTCATTGCATGTTTGCTGAGAAGTTGGATATAATAGTTATCTTTGCTCCTCTGTAGGTAAGGTGGGTGTTTTTTGCTTCCCTTTGGCTTCTTTTTAAAATATTTTTTTCTTTATCTTAGATTTTCTGTAGTTGAATACAATATGCCTAGGTATAAAGTTTTTCTGACATTTTTTCCTGCTTGGTATTCTCTGAACTTCCTGGATCTGTCGTTTGATGTCTGACATTAATTGGGGGAAATTCTCAGCCATTATTCTTTCAAAGGAATTATTGTTTAAAGGGGGGATTTTTTGGGGAAATGTAGTTGGCGAACAAATAAATTCTGTGAACAACTTAAAAGTACTAGTGAAAGCCCTTTTTGTGATACTATATTCTGTTTCATATGTTAGTATGCATCAGAATCAAATAAAATACAGATTACTAGGCCTCACACAGTGTTTCTCAATTTAACAGTTTGGGGTATAATCCAATCCATCTACCCGCCACAACACCAATGCACCAAGTTGTAAGCATTGTCAGACCTTACCAATGAAGTGGCGGTAAGTAGAGCAAGTGCCAATGTTGAGAGGTTAAAATCTGGGGTAATGAGTATGACTTTTTCTCAGTCCAAGTAAACCTAAGTGCAATATTTCACAGAGCTTCTCCTCAGGGACCTCCACAGTTACGAACCATGAAAACCTGTACTCAGGTACATACTGAAGATGAAAAGTGCCTCCCTCCCACCTCAACCACTCAACCTAACTCCCATACTTGTACCAGAAGGTACACATACATGTTCCATTATCTGGAAAAGGATATAAAAAATGTATAAGACCTGAATGTCTCTTCATTCATTCATTCATTCATTCACTCAGACAATATTTGGTATCTATTATTTTTGAGGCACTGTTCTAGACTCTGAGAATACAGCAGTGAACAGACAACATTGTTCCTGTTCAGAAGCTCACATTCTACTGGAAGAGACAGACTATATATATTATTTTTGGAAAGTGATATTGAGGAAAAAAAGAACAAAAAAGAGAAAGACTGAAGTATATGCTATTTTAGGGAGGTTATTGGGAAAGTTTCTCAAATAAAGTGAAGTGGGAAAAGGAATCATAAAGAAAACAGTCCCATTTATGACTATATCAAAAAGAATAAAATAAATAGAAATAAATTTAACCAAGAAGGTGAAAGACCTGTAGTTTGAAAATGATGACACTGAAGAAAGAAATTGAAGAGGATACAAATAAATGGAAAGATATACCATGTTATTGATTAGAAGGACTAATATTGTTAAAATGTCCATACTACCCAAAGCAATATACAATTCAATGCATTCTCTATCAAAATTCCAATGGCATTCTTCTCAGAACTAGAACAAAACCCTAAAATTTATATAGAACCACAAAAGACCCCAAAGAGCCAAGGTAATCTTGAGAAGAAAGAACAAAAGTGGAGGTATCATGCTGCCTGATTTCAAACTATACTATAAGTCAACAATAATCAAAACAGTATGATACAGGCACAAAAACAGACACATAGATCAATGGAACAGAATAGAATCCAGAAATAAAGCTTTGTTTACGTGGTCAATTAATAATCGACAAAGGAGGCAAGAATAAACAATGGGGAAATGACAGTTTCTTCAATAAGTGGTGCTGGGAAAACTGGACAGATACATTCAAAAAATCAAACTGGACTACTTTTTTTATATCATGGACAAGGATAAACTGCAAATGAATTAAAAATTTAAATATAACACATGAAACTATAAAACTCCCAGATGAAAATGGTCAGTAAGCACTTTGATACCAGTCTTAGAGATATCTTCTTCAATATGTCTCCTTGGCCAAGAGAAAACAAACAAATGGAACTACAAAAAACTAAAAAGTTTCTGCACAGCAAAGGAAACCATCAGCAAAACCAAAAGAACAACCTACTGAATGGGAGAAGATATTCACAAATGATATATCCAATAACACGATAATATCCAAAACATATAAGGAACTCATACAACTCAACATCAAACAAACCAAACAATCCAATTTAAAAATGTACAAAGGACCTGAATAGATACTTCTCCAAAGAAGATATACAAATGGCCAATAGACATATGAAAGGATACTCAACATCATTAATCATCATGAAACTGCAAATCAAAACCACAATGTGATAACACCTCAGAATGGTTATCATCAAAAAGTCAACAAATAATTAGTGCTGGTGAGGATGTGGAGAAAAGGGAACCCTTCATACGTATACTGTTTGTAGGATTGTAAATTGGTACAGCTACAATGGAAAACAGTACAGAGACTCCTCAAAAATTTAAAAATGGCACTGCCTTATGACCTGACCCAGTGACATTCTGGGAATATATCCTTAGGAACCCGAAACACTGATTCAAAAGCATATATGCACCCCTATGTTCATTGCAGTATTATTTGCAATAGCCAAGGAAACAGCCCAAGTGTCCAGCAGTAGATGATGCATCCTGTTTTTTATAGATTTAATGAGCCAAATACATTTTATAAGATATAAATCTTATTAAATTATAGTTTCAAGTCAAACTATTTGATGTAAACAGCACCTCAATTAGAAGGTAATACAATATTCTACACTTACTGTTCTCTAATAACAATATATCGATATATCTCTTTCAAACTTGATGTCACATGTTTGCTTCACTAATGGTTTTAAGTTCAGAGCAACTGTAATTGAAAGTCTCATTTTAAATCATACTCTTAACTTTTTCCTACTTCTAAAGTTTAGATTAAACTCCAAGGGTCCAGTATAAAATATAAACTTAATTATTGTATGTTAAAACACAATCCATTCTCAAGATAGCAGGGTTGTATGTGCTTGGAAAAGGGGAGCTGAATCGAAGTGAAAGAAACAACCAACATGAATAATGTCCTCCTCAATCAATCAATGCTTATGATAAATAAATAAAAAATTCACTGTTATACTAACAAATTGAATCTTTTTCAAAGAGTTTAATACTCTTAATAGAGCTTCATTCCTCCTAACGGGAGAGCATGCCTGAACACTGGAGCAGGTCTGTCTATAAACACAACTCTTTTCTCAGTATATGCAGTGGAGCAAAAGTATATTTGTAGTTGTTCATATAGAAAATAATACCTGCAATACAAGAAGAAACTCTGTGTTTTGAGTACTCACAACTATAAACTTACTTTTGCCCCACCCTATATGTAATAAATATGACCTACCCCTCCTCCTAAATTCATGAAGCATTATTGCACTTAGTGATTCCCAACGTGACTGTCAAAACAAAATGTAAGTTGTTGTCTAGTCAATTTTCACTTGATCTCAACTAATTATATACAATGTTTGAGCAATGTCACCTACATTTAATACTCTATAGAGTTGAAAATTTCATCAATTACATTAAGGCTATCTTTCATATCTGGAGCACCTATACATAATTTTTATCAATTATTCTTCAAAATAAATTGGAGAAGCATCTTTTATTACTTCTATTTTACATGTAAAGGAAACTGATCTTGAAGATGTTAAGGAATACTATTTTTGCAGAACAGAGCACAAATGCTGCAGTCAAGTATAAAATCCATGAATTTTGAGACCAATTCTGCAGCTCTTTCTACACTGTCAGACTACAAATTATAATGATTTATTTAAAGGAAAAAAATTCTTACCTTTTGGACACTTTTTCCATACAATATGTCGGGCATTCTCATAATTTGTGTTCAACCAACTAAGCAAAAGTCTTTCAGAATCAGAATATACGTTGCTGTCTATAAAACAAGGATTGACTTTTGGTGACTTCTGAGTATGTATGGAGGGCATATCATCTGGGGAATGTGGTAGAATCTGGGATAATATCAGAACCTAAAATTGAATAAAAGAGAGAAAAAAACTTATATTAGACCTGAATGGCAAAATAAAAATCTGAAGAGTAGATAAAAGAATGACAGGTAGAAAAATAAAGGCCATCAGTATTTTCTGCTTAGCTACATTCACTCAAGAGTGAAAAATAGTTAAGATAACCTCTAATGCCCATTTTAAATTCCCAACTTTTTGCCTTTATAGCATCTAGTCTGTAAAGTACCACGCTATGTAATTTACAAGAAGCAGCTTATTACCTAAGGATTCTGGTCACCAATTTTCCAGTGTGTGTGTGAAGGTGGAGGATAGAATCCCGGTCCCCACACAACCAATTATCAAACACCAGCAGAACCTCCAACAATTTAACTCAATTCTGACACTATATACCCAGAGATGGTATCAGATTCCACAGGTTGAAGGTTCAGTCATACAAGACTACTATTTCAGATGCCAATCAAAAGCCCAGGTTGTCAGTATGCTTTCTAACCCCCTAACTATCCACTGGAGTTTCCAAGGACCCCCCTCCTTGGCAACTAAATTCAGACACCAGTCTCAAGTTCAGTTTGTTACCTATACTTTTGACCAACTAGCTATAAATCAGAAGTTTTGATGACCTCTTGTTGGGTTCTATTAGACCTCTGCCATTCCAGATCTGGGGATAAAACAAAGTTCTAACCCTCCAATCATGGTTGATTCCTCTGATAATCAGCCCCCATACTAAGGTGCTTTCAAAAAGCCAATTAATTAACATAACAAAGACACCTTTTTCACTCTTATCACTTAGAAAGTCCAAAAGGTTTAAGAAGTTCTGTGCCAGTTTGGTATAGTGGATAGAGCTTTGGCCTGTGGACTGAAGGGTCCCGGGTTCAATTCTGGTCAGGGGCACATGCCTGGGTTGCGGGCTCAAACCCAGTAGGGGGCGTGCAGGAGGCAGCCAATCAATGATTCTCATCATTGATGTTTCTATCTCTCCCTCTCCCTTCCTCTCTGAAAGCAATAAAAATATATTTTTTTTTAAAAAAAGCTCTGTGTCAGAAATGAGAATCAACACCAAATATATATTTGTCATAAATCATAATATCACAGTATATAACTACATATAGTGTTATCCAATCATTATCATATGCACTACCAGTTCCACATTAATTTTGCAAAACTTCTGATTTATAGCTATTATATTTGGCTTATTCATTTCAATGTCAGATTTTTAAAGTTATGAATTATTTTAATCTATTTTTCCAATTGGCATAGAAAGCATAATTAATTTAAGTAGTAATCAGCAAAGCTCAGACTAAATTTAATTTTCAGAAGCTTACATTTCCATTGATCAGATTGTTTAAGTGGAAGGATATAACTAATAAACATTGTTCAAATATACCATAAATGTTTATCACCATAACAAAACTTCTTACAGTCATTTATGTCTAAATATTATCAACACCACCAATTTGCTGTAAAGAGAATCTAATTTAATTCCATAGGGTAAGAATTATAAAAAGGAAAAAAAAAAAAGAAAAGACAGCAAAACTGAAAAGAAACATTCATGCATATTCCTCAACAGTCCCTGTTAAAGAGGAACACAAGGAAACTGATTTTGGGGTGAAGATACAAGCTTCAGTTAAGACAGGAGATGGAGAGAAAGCTCCAGAAAGAGACTAAGCCACAGGGGAGTTTTCTGGTAGTAAAAGATATAACATCAATTTGAATGCCCATCATAGACAAGTAGATAAAAAAGCTGTGGTACATAAATACAATGAAATATTTCTCAGCCATAAAGAAGAATGAAATCTTACTGTTAGACAGACCCCCAGAATGTTAGACCTCCCAGAGCAAGGAAGATGGGCCAGGTATAGAAGCTCACTAGGGCAGAAAGCCCCAGATGCCTAACAAGGGGCAAAACTGGGAATACAAGAACCTGGCCCCCAGGGTAACCATTCCTCCCCTAGCATATCACTGGTTATGTGGTTTAGACCCCCTGACCTCCTTAAGGCTTCAGTTGTATTCCAGCTCCAGGCCCAGAAAATCAGCAAAACCAGACAAGTGATGTAGCTGCCCCTGGACCAGCTACATTGACTAATGACCCCCTGCCCTGGCACTAACCAATCAATGGAGACCATGACCCTGAAAGAGCACACCTGGAAAGCTGGTGAATATTCTATTGGACCTTCCCCTGGGAGTTCTCCCCTGAGACATCCCCTAAGATTTCCACCTGCAAGAAAGATAAACATGCTCAGGACAAAGGACCCAGTGTGTATTCGCCCTCCCAGGAGCACTCGCATGCCATTACCCCACTGGCACGTATCCCCCAACCTCTAAGGGACCCCATGCGACTTGCAACCAGGGGAGCAATGGGCAGTGGAAGCTCGTCCTGGGCTAACTCCCTGAACCTGTCTCCAAGGCCCCCTTTTCTCTGACATTTCAGTGAGCCAAAGCAGCCCAGCCTAGGCTCTCCTGTTGCTTCTTCAATGCCCTTCCTTGTTTCATTGTCCCAAGTTTACTTTGGCTGCCATCATTGAACCAATGTCTCCTTGGCTCGATGCTATGCAGTCCTTCCCTTTGGATATCTCATCCCCCACCCCTTTCCTTAAATAAATTTAATTTTCTTTCATCAATGTCTGAGATAGCTATTTAGCATGCCCGCATATCACCATGTTCACTTTCCACTTACCATTTGCAACAGCATTTATGTATCTAGAGCAGTGGTCGGCAAACTCATTAGTCAACAGAGCCAAATATCAACAGTACAACGATTGAAATTTCTTTTGCGAGCCAAATTTTTTAAACTATATAGGTAGGTACATTGTTATTAATTTAATTAGGGTACTCCTAAGCTGGCCTTGGCTAAAAACATCCTCAATCTGATTAAGGTATGTTCGCTGAGGTCGACCCCTTCCAACTCTCCCATCCACACTCATCTTGTATACTTGAGTGTGGATGGGAGAGTTAGAAGGGGTCGACCTCAGCAAACAGCAAACGTACCTCAAAACAATGTACCTCCCGGGCGCTGCGTATCCCGTGGCCCGTCTGCGCCGCGTGCATTTCCTGTCGCCCGACACCCCCCACTTCTTCTAACATCACTTCTTCAAAATAGACTCGCCCAGGCCGAAAACCGACTTCTGTGCATGGACCACGAAGTTTCAATCGCACTGTACGTGCGCGCCCACACGTGGTATTTTGTGGAAGAGCCACACTCAAGGGGCCAAAGAGCCGCATGTGGCTCATGAGCCGCGGTTTGCCGACCACTGATCTAAAGGGTATTAAGCTAAATGAAATAAGTCATTCAGAGAAAGACAAATATCATATGATATCTTTTATATGTGGAATCTAAAGAATAAAATAAGTGAACAAACAAAAGAGATTCATAGATACAGAGAGCAGACTGATGGCGGTCAGAGGGGAGGGCGTTTGGGAGACTGGGCAAAAAAGGTGAAGGGATTGAGAAGTATAGATTGGTAGTTACAAAATAGTCATGGGGATATAAAGAACAGCATAGGAAATATAGTCAATAATATTGTAATACTATATATGGTGCCAGGTGGGTACTAGAAATATCAAGAACACTTTGTAAAGTATATGGCTGTCTAACAACTATGTGACGCCCCTGAAATTAATACAAAATAATACTGAATGTAAGCTGTAATTGAATAAAATTGAAAAATATAAAAATGTTTAAAACAACAACAGCAACAAAAATCTGATCATAGTCCTCAAGCACTGCACATATCACCCATGGGGATCATTGCCAGGGTTTCCAGGAAACCTGAGAGGTACCTATTCCTAATTTAAAGATAAAGTTTGCAGGCCCAGAATTCTGTTTTTCCTTGTCTTCTCACTCCCACTATTCATGGCTCCTGGCTTCTTTTTTTTTTTTTTTTCTTTTGTTAATCCTCACCTGAGGGTGTTTTTTCCACTGATTTTTAGAGAGAGTAGAAGGGAGAGATAGTGACAGAGAGAGAGAAACATCAATGTGAGAGACAAATGGACTGGTTGCCTCCCTCACAGGCCCCAACTGGGGCAATCAAGGAAATGAACCTATGACCCTTCAGTCCATGGGCCGATGCACTATCCACTGAGCCAAACTGGCTAAGGTGACTCCTGGCTTCTTAATCATCTTTATCAACCCTCCCTCCTGTTCAGCCTGTATGGTAGTTTTTCTCAGAACTTCAAAGAGCAAAGTGATATCTTAAGGAGAGCACTGCAGTGTCCTACCACATATCCAAAAGCTCTTGTATCTGCACTCACTTTTCTTCCTTCTCTCCAGCTGCAATGGCTGAGCAATCCCTTATCCCTTCTCTTATACTAGATGCCAGGCCTTCTCATCTTAGGAATAGTACCGCATCAGTTTGTCTTTTTTTACCATTTGGATCTTTAACGTCTCCCTCCTGACCAATTCTTTTTCAGCAATATCAAAACATGCTCACTAGGCATCTATCCTGGAACCAAGAGGTCACCAGTTGCATTCCAGGTCACCACTTTCTTTCATTCCTTTAGCTCATTAAACCAAGGCCCACCTAGTGACCTTCCCTGACTCATTATTACCATCTCAAGCAACCCCTCAATTTCACCTGATACTGTTAACCATTTCGTTCCTCAAAGGCTCTCTTTCCTTTGTGTTCATAATATAAAATGTCACTGTGATCTTTTTGCCTATTTGAAGCTCATTTGCAGGATTCTCTTCCTTTTCCTATTTAAATATTTGGTTTGTTCAATACTGGGTTTCTGACCTATGTGATTTTTTCACTCTATAACTTTTTTCTCCCTATTTTATTCCCTATAAACCACTAAAGGTGCATTAGGAAACTACATAGACCACCACTAATAAAGAGAATAAAATGTCATGATATACTTTATTCATATTTATCACACACATGCAAAGAGTTATTCATATGTTCCCTATCCATGGTTATATCCAATCAAAACATGCAATATTTGTTGTCATCTGTGAGAATAATTGTGTTTCCAAATTGATGTCACTGACATTATGGGACATACCGCAAAGCCATTTAATTAAAGAGTTTCACTAATTCTGCTTCACTCCAATCATGCTTTATTGCTTTTAAATATTCCTCAGAAAATATGACCCCTTGTACCATTTTTGTTTGTTTTCTACATAGGCACGCAATTCTGAATAATGCGTAGTTAGAACTGAATTCTTGCTGACATTTAGCAACAAATACTCTAATTTTATTATAGAGAGAACTGAAGTGGTTCAGGAAAAATGTGTTTAATTAATCAGAAAGATTACTGCTCTTTGCTTAAAAATTTCAAAATATTTGACAGAATTGTGCCACTATTCTAAAAAAAAAACTTTATGATAGAATACTGGGAACAAATGAATAAACAGTTAATTAAAATTATTCAGATATTTATTTATCACCTTTTTCTTTTCTAGATTCTTCTGTAAAAACATCACATCCACTTCTTTCAGTATATACAGATTCATCCTTTATACCCACATAAGATCCCGATTTATAATTTACACTTAGAACAGCATTCTGAGTTTGAGTGTTTCTGTTACTGTCTTTCACCACTCATGCTTCAATGACCCACTTTTTAGCCATTTTTGTGAACATTTTTGTGAATTGGGAATGTAATGCAAGGAAAGAGCAACAATTAATCATGCAAATTTAACAAGCAAAAATAACCTAATGACACAAAATTAAATTGAATATGACAAGCTATATTCTGTTATCTAAACAATTAGCCAAGAAGAACTGACAAAGGCAGTCTTGCACTGCATGCATGACCTCTGAGAATTCAACAATAAGAACCCAAAGGGATTTGTGTGAAAATCACAATCTTTTATTTCTAATTTGTGAATTCATTTCAACAACATTGCTTGCTTTTTCAAGTGAAATTGCCAATCCACTTCTGATTTAATGGAGCACCTAGAGCTACCCACGCTTTAGCCACAATACATTAAGTCACAGCTCTGTAGATCATCTAACTGGGCAATCTTATCCACTCCTATGACTTTATCATGGCATCAGTAAAGAACTCCAAATGTGTGTTGCCACCCAGGTCCCTTTCCTGACTCAAGGATACACCCACCGGTAATCATACCAGGCACTGTAATATAGCAAAACTAAAATTAATTTATCATGTTCTCTTACTCAGTTCCACCCTCTGCCCCCAATAAAAATGCTATTATCCCTTGTCTTCTATTTCAGTGACTGGGATCAAATTTTACTCAGTCACCCAACAAGAAACCCACTGTCATCTTTGACCTCTCTGTCTCTTTTACACGTCCCCCCACCCCCGCCACCCCAAAGATCAAGTTATTTACCAAGCCTGAGTTCTCCTAATATTTATGAATGCTGTCCATTTCTTATCTTTCCTACTACCACCAACATTCCTAGCACCACAAATTAAAATGCATTCCTGAACAATTTCTATAATGTACCACAGTGATTTCTGTAAAATGCAAACCTGATTATGTCAAGCTTATGTTTACAACCCTTCAATACCTCTGTACTGATCTCCTGCTAGAGTCTATGAAGTCCAGATCCCTTAGTTTGGCTTATGAAGTCAGCCAATTTCTGTCTGGGATCACAGTCCA